TTTATGTTCTAGGGTCATGTGCCAGCAACGTGGCACAGGTTTGTTACACTATGTATATACATGTGGGCCATGGTTGGGTTGTCTGCACCATTAACTCGTCATTTGTATATTAGGTATATGTCCTATGCTTCCCTTCCCTCCTACCCAACCCCCATGACCAGGCCCCAGTGTAGTGATGTTCCCTTCCTCGTGTCCCAGTGATCTCATTGTTCAGTTCCCACCTATGAGTGAGAACCATGCCGTGGTTTGGTTTTCTGTTCTTCCGTGATAGTCTTGCTGAGAATGATGGTTTGCCAGCTGCTCCTGTCCTAACAAAGGAACGTGGAACTCAATCCCTTCTTTTATGGCGGCATAGTATTCCCATAAAGTGTGTACTGTGCTACATTTTCTTAATCCAGTCTGTCAACTGGAGGGGATAAAAAAAAAATTTGGGTTCTGGTCTCCAAGCCTTTGCTATTGTGAATAGTCGCTGCAATACAAGCATACGTGTGCATTGTCTTTATAAGCAGGGCATGATCTTATCACATCGCTTATGGGTATTATACGCCACTAATGAATCGGCTGGCGTCAAATGGTACTTTTCTAGTTCTAGATCCTTCGAGGAATGCGCCGAACACTGTCTTCCACAATGGTTGAACTAGTTTACCGTAGTCCACCACCCCAGTGGTAACAAGTGTTTTCCTACTTTCTCCCACCCCATCCTCTCCAGCAGCCTGTTTGTTTCGACTTTTCTTCAAAATGATGCCCCAATTCTGAACTGGTGTGAGAATGGTAATCTCAATTGTGGTTTTGATTTTCATTTTCTCTGCGATTGGTGAGGTGATGATGAGCATTTTTTCATGTGTCCTGTTGACTGCATAAATGTTTTGAGAATTGTCTGTTATATGCCTTTGCCCCAACTTTTGATGGGCCGCTCTGTTTGCTTTTCTCCCTTGTCAAACTTGTGTTGAGTTCTTTGTAGTTCTGGATATTAGCGCCCTTTGTCAGATGGGTGAGATGCACAAATATTCTCCCATTCTGTAGCGTTGCCTGTTCATCTGGATGGTAGTTTTTTTGGCGATGCAGAGGCCTCATTCGAGGTTTATTAATTAAGATCAATTTGTTCATTTTCGGCTTTGTTGGCCATTGCTTTTTCGTTTTAGACCACGAAGTCCTTGTCCCGTGAGCCTAATGTGCTGAATGGTCCATTGCCTAGGTTTTACTTCTAGGGTTTTTATGGTTTTAGGTCTTAACACATTTAAGTCTCTATCCATCATGAATTAATTTTGTATAAGGTGTGAAGGGAAGGCATCCAGTTTCAGCGTTCTACTTACTGGCTAGCCGTAGCTTTCCCCAGCACGCATCTTATTCAAATATGGATCCGTCCCCATTTCTTCGTTTTGTCCAGTTTGTCAAAAGATAGATGGTTACTAGATGCTGTGGTAGTCATTTCTGAGGGCTTCTGTTCTGTTCCGTTGTGCCTATGTCCTAGTTTTAGGTACCAGTACCATGCTAGTAAATACCAATTTCCAAGTAAAAACTTTCTTGCATCTTTTCTCTTCTAGTGACTATCTGCCAGATATTTGGGGGATTTATTTCCTTGTAGGGAAGTAAAAAATTACAAGCATACAGTATAACCAAGCTCATGTCATGACTATCACAGTTATGCACTGAACAACTGAACTGTAACTTAACATAATAAAGTTAATGATTATTTTAAATCAAATAGAAAATTTCACTTAATTTTCCTATCATTTATAACAGTCTGAGTCTTCAGATGGGTAATGAGTACCTTTTAATTTGCTATTTAGCATTTCATACAAGTGTTTTCAGATTTTTCTATGAGATAAAAGTAATCTAGAAAGTAATATTTCTATTTTATTAAAATAGTTAAAATATGCTATACTAAAAATGTAATTATAAAATAGAATTATAGAAATTCTATTTTTTGTGTACACACACACACACACACACACATCACAATTCAACCTAGAAAAGGCTATTTGTTCTTGAGAGATTTATTTCTTTTTAATATTTACACTTGTACTGAGAAGCCTTCTAATTGTTTCCTTTATTACTCCTGCATATCTACCTTAACATCTTGTCTGATGCCCTTATCTACACAACTGTTATTCCTTGGTTGAAAAGTGATTTAGTGATGGCTAATCTTCTTTTCTGTTTCAATTTACACTTTCCCATTGTCTATTCAGAACTGGAAATGGCACTTGAAGTGACTCAAACTGTACCACATTTCCCCTTTGTTTTAATTAAATCATGTATTGGCATTTGATGTAATTTATGGTTGAGAACTTTAGATTTGTACTATGCCAGACCATGTATTGTTCCATCTATTCCTTCTCAGTTTAGCATTCCTTCCAGAAAGTTCCATTAAGGGACCATTAATTAAAACATTGTAAAAATGTAAAACACTGCCTTACACTGGCTTAACATTGGTATTGTTCTTTTCTGTGCAGTTTCCTATGGTAAGATGACTTTTACATCAAAGTGTCCATAATTCTGTATCATTGCATTTACAGACACAAAAATGCAATCAAATACATTCAGATATATATCCATTAAGCCATGTGTCATATAACCAATTTACATTGACTTAAAAATTTTAGTTATTTTGCTTAATAATACAGTTATTGCTTCTCTAATCATTTGGCTTTTCATGCTTACATTACATAGTTGGTTATAATATGTGGAACAGCTGCAAACTTTCACGGTAATAGGTACAATCAAATCTGATGTGTCTAATTAGTTTTTAGTCCAACAAATTAGTTTTGTTCTTCATTACTCTCCAATGGGAGGAAGACATTATATTTCATTATATTTTTTGTCTGCAAGAACAATGGAGTGTTACAGGTCACACACATCCCTTGTCTATGCTCTAATTAGTCCAACTGACAACATTGTTTCAAAAATACCAGCAGCATAAAAAATAGCAATACACCTTGAGTAACATAAATATTGCAGCTTACTAAATATGATATATTGTGGACCGTTTACAAAAATGAAGGCCAAATTTTCTTTTCTCTGTTCAATAAGGTATGTTTTCTTTCTGATAATTCCTAATAGTTAAGGAAATCACCAGATAGGTGTATGTCTCATATGGAAAATATGAGCTCATTTTAAATACAGTTTTGACTATGTTTACATGTATAATAATTAAAGGCAGACATAGTGGGAAAATGAGCCAGATTTACTACATAAGTGACGTTGGTATTTAAATCTGAAATTTAATCAAAAGACCTTTCAGGAATGGATTATGTGTAAGGAAATGCTAACAGCTATGATAAAAAAAAGCCTGTATTTTGAAAAGATTAACAAAATAAAATTTTATTTCTAATTCACAGCTCAGACCAATATGGATCAGCAGAATGGGAAATGGAGTTTCTACTCAATGTCATTATTCAGGGGTTTTGGATCTTTCAAACCATAGCTCTCCCATGTCTTAGAAGCTTAACATCCTCCAACAGATCCCCTGTTTCTGTCCAACCAATGAGGAAATAGAGTTTCAAGTCAAGGCAGTGTTAGGGATCAGGCCTGGAAGGTCATGTGCACATTTTGTTCCTAGTTACCACTGGCTAATGCTCAGTTACTTTTTTGAACTCTACTGCAAAAGATGCTAGGAAATGTAGGCTAATTTTCTGCCTTGGAAGAAAGGAGGAGCAGTGAGGTAAACAAGTGAATTGAGATCTGCAGGATTCTCAAATCTAGATAATTTATCACTCCTGTCACTGAGGTTGACTGAGAAGTCCTTAAAGCAGCCCTTAAACTTACATGGGTCATAATTTTGAGTCAAAAATTACTGTCTTCTTATTAGCCTCCACTTCAATCCTCCCAAAATACATGAAGTAGACAATACTGGTGCCAACCAACTGACACGGGCTCTGGAAGATTAAGCTTACTGCTTACTTGGCTAGTAAGTGGCAGAGTTGTTTCATCAAAATCATGACTTCAAAGACCATGATCTTTTTAATATATTACAGTGCTATAACTAAAACAGGGAAAATCCCACACATTCCTTTGATATCGTATGCTGAAATGTGCCATTTATATTTTGCTTACCACTTACCTTTTAAAAGTCTTTGATTAGTCACTAATTAGGCATCACATTGACATTAGAAATCACTTAATTCCCAGCGTCTACATTTCTTAATCTGCTAAATAAGCCCATAAATCTTATGATTCCACAAGTTTAAGACCGATTCAAAATGCAGACTGAGATTTTCTTAATTATCTGAGGGGTCTAAATTTTCCAAAGATGACTAGTTCTAGAATAATCTGAGTCCAGATTTAAATATATTTCTCAGTAATGGAGACCTCAAAGTTAATTTTTAAGTTGTTCTTTAAATTTGGCTTTCAAATGGATTTTCAAATTAGTTTCAGATACTTTAAGGGAATATATGAGTTTCATCTTTTCATATTTTAATTATGCATGCTGATCTCTGTGAAAGCTGTTTACATAATTGTCATTGTTTTGTATAGTAGTTTTAATACTCTCCAGAAAATGAAAGGATATTTGCTCAAAATAAGCTCTTTGGTAGAATATTAAAGTTAACATTAAGTTACATGTTCTTGTGAATTACAAACATTTGAATATGGACAGTGCCTCAGCAGAAAGGCAATTTGCAAACACCCCATGTTAAAAGTTGTCATTGCTATCTTAAAAATGAAAACTATATTTAAAAACACTGTATGTAATTCAAGATGTTATTAATTCAACTCCTAGTACTATTTTTATAATTTATAAGGTGATATAATATGTGGTTGTGAATCCGTCCATAGCAAACCACAACACAAGAGGTCAGTGTTCTTAATCACATTTTCAAACTCATGATTTGATTTTTCTTTTGAAAATTATCAACTATGCTTATCAATACTTGTGATAGGCTCAAAACAAAACAAGTATTTCCTGCCTTCAAATAATTTTTCTTCATTTTTGATGCACCATGTTTGTATTCCTGTGCTTATTTTTGTTTGAATATATACTAATACTATTGTTTTTTCCGTAGGGAGACGCAATGAAGTTGTCATTACTGAAAACAATAACAGCATAACTGAGCAAATCACTGACGTGGTGAAGCAACCGGCCTTTATTGCTGGTATTGGTGGTGCCTGCTGGGTAATTTTGATGGGTTTTAGCATATGGTTGTATTGGAGAAGAAAGAAGAGGAAGGGACTCAGTAACTATGCTGGTAAGTGACTATTTCCAGCTAAGAAAATCTCTTAATCTGTAGGAATGTCATGAAATGAATGGAAGGAGCAGAAAGGAATAACAAATGAGTGATTTTGGCTTATTTTAGAAACCTGCACTGTAAAATGCAATTACACTCAACATGCTTTAATGCATTGCTCTTGACCATATCACTTTGTAACCATGAGGCAAAGTCATTCTGCTTGTAGCTCCAATGAAGCATAACAAGAGCACAGACTGATAAAAATGCTTAACTGTTTTTCTCAACTAGTTCTTTGAAATCATAAACTCACACACACACAGATACACACACACACACACACACACACACACACAATGTGTTACATGCTATGAAGCCATGTTTGAGAAGTGGATTTATGCATGAGCATTACTTAAATGTTCAGGAAAGAAGAACATTTTGAAATATAGCTTTTAGTGTGTCAGGATGCGGATTACAATAGGAAATGTCCCTCGTGAAAAGTACTGACAGGCAAACATCTCACCAGAATTGATAAGACTGATGAGGCATGAATTAAGTGATTTACTGTTCACTTACATAGACTCTTATTACAATGCAAACAAGCAGTATTTTAAAAGAAAAGGAAAATGAAGGAAAAGAGAAAGAAGCTGAAGCAGAACAATAAAGAGAAGACCCTAGATGGTCTGCATATTCACAACAATGTTTTCTTCTTAGAATCCAGGACAGAGTTTCAGGGGTGTCCTATATCGTGGCCTTCAAAATATCTCCATGGTAGAGAGAGAAGGGAGAGGAGACACAAAATTGTAAAGTCAGTGATTGACAGAATTAACTCAATACTGAAGTGACGTTCGATTATAATTTTAAGTGCAGTTTATTTTAAATATTTTCTCCAATAACAATAAGAAATATCTCACAACATTTCACACTTTCTAGAATTCACAAGGGACCAATTTTAATTGGACATGATTTTACAAATATGTAAGAAGTTTTTGAGACATTGCATTCAATCTTCTATTTCTAATATTAACTTTGGTAGGAAGCACAAATGTCTTAGTAACTGATTTTGACAGAGGCGTCATTGGTTATTAAGCTTTTAAGATGCTGTGGCTTGTAGGCGCCTAAACTGCTGAGAATGTGGAAATAGTGCAAAATGCTGAGTATAGCACTGACTTGGTTGCCTTGCTTGTTATTTGATGCATTTATATGTTTATGATCATTTGATTATAGCATTGTAGCTTGTGTTTATATCTTATGAAGATAAAATGTTATTAGTTACTTGATAGAATACATTTCCAGGACCAGAGAAAGTAGTACAGCATATCCATTGACAAGAGGCTTCCATGTTTGGTGACATGCCATCATCCTGCCATTCTCATTCCTCATTGGTTGCTCCTCTCTGCTTCCTCATAATTTGTCACCCAAGTGCTATATCACTTCAACAGTGAGGGATTCTTTGCAGAAAGGGGTGCTAGGCAGTAACTGCTGAGTGTCAAAGTCTGGAAAATTAATGATACTTTAATGTGCCTTCTTGTTATGCAGTCCAGTTCTCTGCCTTCATTGCTGAAGGCATTGCCCGTCAACCTTTCTGTTTAATCAGCCGCCGTGTTATATTACAGCTCTGTGATACACTTGTATAAATCATGTGAAATATAAGGAGGAACTGATTTAATTCATGGACTATTTGGTGTTTATCCCTTTGCTTGACGTTAGCAATGATAATAAAAAATTGACTATGCTGGTCAGTTCAGTGCAAAGTTCTAATATATTCACATTTGGAGTGTTGCATTTTTATCCTCCGTATTTCTTCATTCACTCACTCCTTAGAAATAAAATATCTCTCATAGGTAGTAAGTTTATACTGTTAGTAAAATTACACCAGAGAGACTTTTCTTCTTTTTTTAACAGCAATTCTTTGCACAACCTATGCACTTAATTTGAAAATAGATGTTGATCATTGAGCTTGACAAGAATAGTACCTTTCCTATTACAATTTTTTATTGTTATTGATACTCATCTGCTTGTAGAAGAACTACTAACTCAGAAGTGCTGTGCCCTTCAGGTATTTTGGAATAAGGCCAAGCCAGAGAGAAGCCTTTCAGAAGTTTTATACTTAACTGATAGATGGCTGAGTCTGAAGATAACAGATTTTATGAAGCTCAGTAAATATAAACAATTTAATGTGAGTGAACAAACTATGTGAAATGCTAAACACTTCACACATACGTCTTAAAATCGTCAGTGAAATATAAATTATTGGACAAAACCATCCAAGGCACTTAAAAGATTTGATGGACTTTTTATACTCTGATTATCTGGGCTGAGTTAGTGCTTATTAAAAAAGGATTAATCTACATTCATATTTGAGAAATAGCTTATCGGGGAAGGGAATGAGGCTTGGCTGCAACAGTAGAGTTTCCATTTGGACTAGGAAAATGTGACCTACTAAAGACAGGCACTCTGAAAGCTTCCTCACTCAAAATGTCAATTTACCACAGTTATGTTTCCTCCTCTTCTACCCCAGTTGTAGCAGGCATGAGGTTAGGATTAATTCTGTGAGGTCATATTAGAGTTACTTTTTGTATGCTATAACCTTGCAAAATCTCTTTACCTTATATGTGTTGCAGAAATTGCAAGAAATTCAAAATGTTTTCAAAAACATTTTAGATTGTGGTGTCTGCAGAGCTTTTTGGAAACCTAAGCACTTATACTATTCAGTTAGTGTAAGCTAAAACATTCCGTATGTAACTCCTTGAAAGTTCTTAATTTTTGGATACTAGCAGAGACTTCTGATTGAGAGTCACAGTTATTCCATAGGTATCTCTAATAAGCACAAAGTTACTACTCTGTGATTATCAAAATTGTGATGAGAACAAGATTGTCTGGCCACACCCAACCCTTCTTACAGCTTCAAGGCAAACACTTCTTCGAAATGAGAACCACCTCAAAATAGCTTTCAATTTGCTGTGGCATTTTATTTGTATGTTCGTCTTTCTGCACACACACAAAACACTGATCAGAACACCAGATATGATTTCCCTTTGAGGAGTTCTCATTGTTCATAGTTATTTGTAGTCTGCCCTAAACTTCATGATCTAAGAGAAGTTGTTACTTTTGATCTACTTTTCAAAATAGAACCAGTTTTGCAGCATAAAGTAAAAAATGAAACTTGAAAAAGTGTTCCCTTTTTTTCTCTTCTTTAAAAACACAACTAAACAACCCATTAAGAGAAGAGTTTTTAAAAAAATTCTGACAGAAATAATACAAAATGGACATTTAGATTTTGTACTAAATTATATGTGAATCTTTTTAAGGTCATCAAATACTTACATAATGTAGTGTGAAGTTTTGCCTTGTGTCGTTAATATGCAGAGATACAGAGATAAATGTCTTTACGGAATACTTTGACACCCTATTGGCAGTCTAGAATCATTTGAAAACCATATTTTCATGGTGATGGGAACAGAAACAGAAAATAGATTGTCCCAAATGCTTAATATGAAATATTTTAAAATTTAAATTATTTTGCTCACGGCATTTAGTTTTCAATTGCCAGATATCGGCCATACATACTATAGTGTTCATGCCCTAACAAGTTTGCAAATTAACTTTAATGCATTATATGTATATATGTGTATATATATATATATATCTTTTTTTTTTCTTGAGACAGAGTCTCACTCTGTCGTCCAGGCTGGAGTGCACTGGCATGATCTCAGCTCACTGCAACCTCCGCCCCCAGAGTTCAAGCACTTCTCCTACCTCAGCCTCCAAATAGCTGGAATTACAGGCACTTGCCACCGTGCCCGGCTAATTTTTGTATTCCTAGTAGAGAGGGGGTTTCACTGTCTTGGCTAGGCTGGTCTTGAACTCCTGACCTTGTGATCCAACCCCTTTGGCCTCCCAAAGTGCTGGGATTACAGACGTGAGCCACCGCGCCCGGCCTCGTGGTATATTTTTTATAAGGTTTTCAGTGTTCTATTATAATACTTTAAACTGTACATGTCCTGAAGAATTTACCACTGGTTCGTGTATTAAAGTTAAGTACAACTCAATGTTTGTCCCTCTGCTTCTGGTGTCCTCCTTTCCTCTAATAGTATTTATTGCTCTGGCACTAACAGAAAGTTTGAATGGGACAAAAGAGCATCTAAATTAGGGAAAACAATTTAGCTTCTCACATATCTCTTAAACAGCACATTTTGAGGTGTAGCCCATGAGCATCTGCTTATTTGCATATTCACAATAATATTCACACCATTATCTTAACTCTCTTTTAACAGACTAAAACAATCACTTGATAGTCCATTAAGAAAAAACCACAAACTAGAAAGTCACATCAGATGGAAGGCTAATTAGCTATACTGTTTTCACGTTGCGTGTGTACTAATCAGGCATTTATTTAATATCTCCAGTGCTCAATTTTTTGCATTAATTATTTCAGATTAAATCTTTTTTGTTAAAAGCAGTTATTAAAGGGGCACAATGTGGGACAGATGCACTGCTGATTCCTGATTCCGCGCCCTTCAGTGAGCCTTTCGCATTTGTATTCTTTCATCTTCTCTGAGCATGTGCCTCTAGCCAGTGCTGAGCAGATGCAAAGGTTATGTCAGGATTGTTTTGCAATGCGTTTGAGACGTTACATGTACAACTGATAAGGCAGAGTATATTTCAGGTACCAATAAGAACTTCCTGAGAGCCCTGATATGCTTTACTGTCCCATGAGGACTCTTGGAGTTTATAATCATATTACCTGATTCTGATATCATGAGAGATACTATCAGTAGATAACCTTAAAGGAGGGACTTCATTTGCAAATTCGTAAAATTTAAAGAGTCATCACCATATCTGATAGCCCAAACTTGAGAACAGAGGAGTTATGGAGAGTTATTCAAATTAAGAAGTATTCACTGTGTGTATATATTAAGTGGCAATATATCCTCTATTTACTTACAAATATGAATCAACTAATTAAATTTCATTTATTTTCCCCTGTACTTACCACATTTAAAAAATCATAGTAAATATAGTCAACGCCTTCCAAAGACAGGGTTTACTGGGTGCACAGCAATGAAAATGGTATTTTTTCTCCTTCATCCCCAGTGATTGGTTTAGCCAATCCATGTTAATTTTGGTCAGAATTGCAGGTTCATTGCACTTTTGCAAGCTGTACACTTCTAAACTCCACATTTCTTTTTAAAAATAATTTTCTAGTTTGCCATAATGTAATGGCAAAATCTGATCCAAACTAATGTGAAGCTATTTGTAGACTTTATCCTACTAATAATGGATGTTCACATTCCACTGCAGAAAAATTAAATAACTTTGAATACAGGTTACTGTTTTAGAACCTCTTTGTAATATGCAAAGTATATTACCTTTCTCAATTCTGAATCATTTTGGAGTCCAGATACCTTTGGCTGCAGAAGTTTGGGCAATGGATGACGGACCTGAACTGATAATAACGTTCTTTGACCAGTCGTTAAAATCCACATTCATGTTGTTGGCTTTGTAGACTTGAAACTATCGACTGGAGAGAGTGGATTCACTGGATTCACTGGCTGTGGCTCTGGTGGATGCTTGCTGGTGTTGCTAATAAGTTCCATAGTTATATGGAGGATTCAACTTTTCTGATCACTACATACAATTAGGAATATATTCAGTATCAATTATTTGAAAAATTCATTTTTGTGAACATGTTATTCTCTATTAATTATAGTTCATGTCTGTTGTAATTATCACTGTTTATGAGGGTCATCAAAGGATTTGTGATGGTGAAAAATCTGTAGTCAATAAGCATTTGTTTTTCTTGTTTCATTAGAAGGACATAACATGTTGGAACTTCCCTGCTTCGATTTCTATTATGAGTGTTTTGCCTTATGCCTTCTAATTAGGACACCTTTGTTTTAAAATTAAAAATCTTGATTTGATAAATTCACAATAATGTTATGATGATCTTGCAATATCACTATATATACTCATTGTAACAGGTTTGACATTTAAATACGAATTGGTTCTTTAACGTAACCTTGGATTTGGCTTAAAGAATTTTGAAATGTCCTATTAAAATTGGAGCAAATGATGGCTTTGCCTTGGGGCCAAACCACTGTTACTCTCTGTACAATTATGTTAATTATATTTTGTTAAAATTCCCAGAGGCCTCAGCTCTAAACTAAGGGCCAATATGTAGTTGTTATGAATTGTAATTAATATTGACGACTTGTGCGTGCATGTCTTCCTTTTTTTTCTTTTTTTATAGTTACGTTTCAAAGAGGAGATGGAGGACTAATGACCAACGGAAGGTATGCTAAGGAGATGGCTTCATTAGTATTATTTTTTTAATCAGGACTGGGGAAACACTATAGTAAGAGGCTATTATTATAATAAATGATCATTTAAAAGTCTGAGAATTCTAGGAGGAATTAAATGGCTTAGCACAAAGTTTAATGATCTATCTGTTGTGCACTTTAGAGGAATCAGGTCCAGATGTTTCATATCTCCCAGATGCCCCTGAAGAAATTAGTAGTAAATATCACATGGAATGTGTTCATTTGTTAGCAGGATGTTTATTGCATTAATTAGACATTAGCAAATGAAGTTGCTGTTGTTTAAGACTCCTTATTGGCTCTCACTAAATTGCTGTGAGTGAACAATTACACATAATCGATCACAAAGTAAATGATTCATGGATGATGAATAGGCTATAGATTGATAGGACTGGATTCCACAACTTTGGATACTCAATTGAAATTGATAAAAGCTGATAACAAACTCATATATCCTCATCTATTTTCCCTTTGCCAATATGGAGATTGTAATTAGGCTCTGGTAATAACTTCCAATCTCCCATGTAATCAATATTTTAGCAAAAAGAGATTAAGTCTAATGAGAGCTTGTGGATGTAGCAAGAAAGCAGTTGGGTCTTCTTATTGCAGTTTCCATAGAAACACATGTTTCTCTTAGGGATTGTACCAGAAGGGGTCTATCAAAAGAAAAGTGTAATGATTATAGATGTTCTATTTCCGTGTAAATATGCTAGTAATCTGGAAAGGAATCAGAATCCCATCTTTTATATTAAAGAAGGGAGTTCTTTATTAAATATGATGTGAAGGAAATTTTCCTCATAGACTATACTCACATGCTGGATCAGATCACAGTGTATCTTTCATTACCTTAAAAAAAAACCCTTAATATGCCCTTGATGTTTTGCAGATAAGAACTTGGAAATGTTCTATTGATGGAGAGTATAAATACTGTTCATTAATTTTGCTAAGTTCCTTGTTCCTTGCCTCCAAATCAAGCGTGAAGGGTCATAACAAGGGTTACAGCCTAGAGGGGACAGATACATAAGGGAGCTGCGGGAATTGAGGAAGGAATAGCCCAAAGTTTTAGAAATGGCTGACATAGAGAAGTCACTTTGAGCAGTTGTTCCCTTGAGGTGCCAATTTATCATCAAACCTTGTTTTGGGATCCTAGTATGTTATTGATTCCTACCAGTTTCAGGGCAGACACCTGAATTCATCTGGACATGGACAGAATCCCGGGCAAGGACTCCCTGTGTCCACTGTTAATCTATGTATAGCCTTAATGAATTGCTGGAGTTATTTAATTCTAGGGAGTCTACATATATTAATTTGAAGTCAATTAACATCTTCGATTTCTTAACCCTTTATATTGCATGAGATGGGTGTCAAAATCTTGCATTGAGCTCCATGCATTGATTTCCTTGTAATCTCTGTTTTAGCCGTCCAGGTCTTCTAAATGCTGGTGATCCCAGCTATCCATGGCTTGCTGATTCTTGGCCAGCCACAAGCTTGCCAGTAAATAATAGTAATAGTGGCCCAAATGATATTGGAAATTTTGGCCGTGGAGGTAAGTTGTGTTTTATAAATAACGTTATTTGAGTTCTCTCTCTTTTTTTGACCTTCCTGGATTTTTTTTAAAGAGACATATCAGAGAATATTTACTCCCATAATTAAAGTTAATGAAACATATGCACCAACAGTGCTGTACATTTGCTAAATATTTTAATGTGAAACTATTTTGTCTTTATTACCTTGAGTAAAACCAAACTTTTAAGGAAGCTATTACTAACCAAGATGATAAATATTTATAATATATTTGTTTGCAGGATTACTAGTACAAGATTACTGAACTCAGAAACTATTTTGCTAACTAGGGCTTATGGTTTTAGACTAGAGGTTTCCCTTCTCTTTCTCATTTAACATGTATTTATTGAGCATCTCCTGTGTACTTGGCACTATGGAAGACCATAGAATCTAATATTGATATAAAAAAGATGGTCCTTGCCCTCATATAATGTGTCATGTAAGAAATAGACAATTAAGTCAATATAACATCTTGAGAGAGAACTTTTCTGTAGTTCCACAATTAATAACTGGTATCCAAAAAAAAAAAAACCACAAAAAAGTACTAAGTGGATGACATGCTAAAGCCTTCAAAATTTGGTGTCAGAGTCCTCTCCCTGTGGGTTTGTAAGGAGACAGAAGTAACCTTCTGTAAAAAACTACCACCTTCCCCTGCCTTCACCTTGTCATCCGGTCAATACGAGAGAGCTTGGTTTAGAGAATGATGAGAGGAGTAGGGAGCTCTCTGATCTCAGTGTGGCTTGGCAGGTTCATGTGAGTTTTCCATTGGTGGAAGATTATACAGACATTAAATATACTTAAACTGCCTTGCCAGAACCCCACATGGAATGTCTACCAATTGGGAGTAAGAAAGCTCTATGAACAGAGTATTATTTAAGTTGATACCTGAAGCAAGCTTAAAAATGAGTCAAAAGTATGAAAAAAAAAAAAAAGTGTGTAGAAAAGAAATTGCTCTATTTTAAGTTCCAGAAATAAAAGAGACATTGACCTACTTGAGAAATGCAGGAATTTCCTAATGACTTGAGTATAAAGTACGAGGAAGCAGAAATGGTAAGAAACATAGAAGGATAGCTAACAAAGGACCTTTTAAGTCACATAAAGAGTTTAGGCTTCGTTCAGAGGGTTATCACAAGCCGTTGATGGATTTTTAACAGGAGAATGCTGGGATCCAAGTACTGTTTTAAGTCATCCAGCCTGCTGCTGGATGAAGAATGGAGTAACAGTAGAAAATTGGAGTGATTAATTAGAATAGTGCTGTGATCCAAGTAAAGCTGTATGAATTCGCTGTAAGATTTCAGGACTTTTAGAATTAATGAAGGAGGCTCAGGGCTCTGTTAAATTTTTCTGAGTCCATTATAAGCCTCGATGGGTTGATTTCATATGCATGAGTATATAACCAGATTGACTGAGAACTGAGAAGAATAGTCATAGCATTTTTCTCTATAAGAATGGATTACCATTATGTTTGACTACATTTAAAATTGCATTTCAAATAATGAAGCTACTAATTATTGCATAACTCTGCATTCTGTCAGTACCAACTATGAGAAGGGGAATATATATATATATATTTAGCACAAAGTTTGGCATACCATCAATGACCAGGCATCAGTGGAGTGAGAGAATGGAAAGTAAGTTATGTGACTCCTCAGCTTCCTCTTCCATTTCTGTAAGCCAACACACCCCACTTAGGACTCTCATTTGCCCAGAGACTCCAGTAGTAGCTTCCTCCCCTAAGTGACCTGACTGTGGTCAGCTGTAGGCTATCACTTTGCCCTGGGTAGTTTCTGTGCCTGAGCACCTGCTCATCAGGAAACAAAAATGTCCCTCCCCTGCTGTGTAGACTGATTTTGTCAAAAGGAATTCTCTTCCCACAGCTGTTATCAATCAAGGAATAACTGCCTCTTTTACCGCTTGTATTTTTATTGAAATAATATGACATGCTACTGTTTTATCAAGAAGGAAATGCTTACAGATGGAGAAAATGAATTTTCAGTTTCCACAAGGCTAACTTGACATCTAAAATGTCTCAGTCAAATTTCACAAAAGGGTACACTTGGAGATATGCAAGGTTTTTCTTCCATTTTCACAATGTGAAATATCTCATAGATGAACAGCAAGGCCAAGACAACATTTTTGTAGGGTTGACTGTGTCCCTTATCCATGTGAGAGTCATTTTAAGCATTTACTCTGTGCCAGAAATACTGTTAAAATTTTTTTGTATATTTTAATTCATTTTACTTGCATAGTAATGTATGAAATAGATAATCATATTTCCATGTTAAGGATCAATAAACTAAGATTCCTCAAGATAAATAATTTGACATCTGGTTGTAGAAAACTCTGCTTTCTGTTGTAAAGGTGGATTCACATGTATGACTATATAACCATATTCACTTAGAAGAATAAGGATGGATACTGACATTTCCCCTTTAAGAATGAAATGACAATACATGTTTGAATGTAATAAAAATAGTGCTTAGAATAATAAAGTTACTAATTATAGCATAAATCTACATTTTATCAAAGCAAACCATAAAAAATTTATTTAATCATTCAAGTCAGCAAGTGCTTACTCTCTTCAAAACACTGGGTGAGCAATTATGAAAATGCAGACATAAATCCCATATGCTCCTGTCTTCAAGTGACTTTATGATGCAGTGAAGGAGACAGTCATTCATACAGATCATTATATAAAACAAAAGGAAATAAATGTGAGTACAAGTATAACCAGGGTGCTGAAAAACTACAGAATGCATTAGCAATTCCCAGTGGAGGAAGGCTTTGTATAACTCATAGGTTTCCAACACAAGTGTTAACAAGCCCTAGTCAGACAGTCTAAAACATTAAGGATTGGTAGGTGGGGACTGCGATAAATGGAAATGGAAAAAAGACCTGCTAAAGATGGCATCACCTATTTAGGTCTAGGCTTTTGGGAGGAAGGCCAGCCCAGAGTTCCAAATCATCTGATATTACAGGACTCTCCTTAACATCCAAGTATTCATGTACAATATTCCAATATTTCGATGTTAGAATATAATTCAGTTTATTTTTTGAAAATGTAGGGATGATCAAATCATATCTGAAGACAATATGCAGCCTAAAAATCAATACAGAAGCACTTAGACTTAAAGGCTGACTATAATTTTATCTAGCAGGGAGAGGAGAGATTCAATTTCCAGAGCCATAGCATTAGTTGTATAGCAATATTATGTGGGATTAGATTCTTGGACCGTTTTCTTCATTGTTTAACATTTGAGCACACAGTCATTTGAAAAGCTTGCCATTGAAATGGCTTGCAATCCACATCTAAAGCTTTGAAGAACTTTAAATTCAAAGTGTGTGAAATTGGAGCCCACGTTGGAGAATCATGTATATTCACTTAATATTCATCAGTGAAGGACATGGTGGAAGCAGCAGAAACAAAAGTCTGAAAAATCACCCAGAGTGAAGGATCTATTTTCACCAATTTGGATATACTACATCTTAAAAGTTTTTGAGAAATAAAAATAATATTAACACTTGAGAATGCAATATGCTTAACATCAAATTTTGTAATTAGTACATAGCTCAAAGAAAGAAGGGCAAGAAAGTAGTTGTGAAGTTCTGAAATTCAAAAATAATGTTATTTGCTCATACAGCCTGGTGAAATATTATAAGTTTAAATATGTTTAACAATTTCACTGATACACATTTAAGATACTTACTTCAATATCTTAAGTACATATCCACTCAATTGTAAAACAAGTTCCAAACTTCAAAACCTTCATAAAGATTTAAGTTACACAGTGTAAAAAATACAGTATACATTTCTTTCTACAGTTGCTAGACAGTTTTTAGCTTAGGTGAAATTCAAAAGCAAAAGTAATATTTCTGTGAGAATTGTTATTTCAGGTACTATTGAGCATCAGCTAATCTAAAAGTGTTAAGATAGTTGAAAATGTCCTATAATGAAAGAATGAAGTGATTTCATGACCTCAAGTCCCATGAAATGAAGCTTTCAGAAGATAGTTTATTTTAAAATGTACTATATAATAATTAGATTCATTTTAACTCTACATGATTAAAAATAGTGTTATTTAGTGATTTCTATTTTAGATTCACTCGGTATCTTTCTTCCAAAAAGGGAAAATAGGAGCTCAGGAGAGAGGCGGTGGTTCTGAATTGTAAAGCATCATGTAAAAATAATTCAGCATACCAGAATGAAAAATGGACTGATTGATATTCAGTGTTGTTCCTGAAGTTTAATTTTACTCTAGCTGTATTACAACATGAAACAGTAATTCTCTAGTTCGGAGTTGATAGCATAAATTAAAGCCACCGATCACGGAGACTGCTTTTTCTATAGTTAAATTCTGCTATATTGTGAAAATGACTTATACATGAAAATTTTCCTTTGTTATTCAAGAAAAAAGAATGCATTCTCCATTTCTGGAGCAATGAAATCACACCATAAGTGGCAAGTTATAACTTCAAAAAATGTACTTGATAGTCAGTGGGGTATAATTTTGGAAATGTTAGCATATATTCAGCCGTTGTCGTCCACATCTCTTGGGATAAAGAGATGTTTTTCATCTGTGGGTTGTGGATTCGCTGTCATTGCTACTGTAAAGTGCTAACGCTTTCCTTGGCTCTAACACAGAGTGAACAACTGAAAGCAGTTTTCAGTAGTGAAGTATGCCAACCGTCTCATTCATGGTTAAAGAAAACGGGGGGAAGGGTGTTTTAAGCAGTGAGACGTGAAGGGCGAGCAGTAGGCCTGCCTGTCACTGAGGCTGATAGCTTGGCGATGGTTGTACATCATCTACCCTTCAGTGGCTCATGAAGCCCATCTCAGCTGAAATGCAAACGTGCAGTGCGACACACTTATTTTTCATCTTCAATCCTGATTGTTTGGGCTTCCGGTGCCTCGTTAAATTGTTTCGTTTCCCTGTGTTCACCTCACCACAGATGTGCTGCCACCAGTTCCAGGCCAAGGGGATAAAACAGCAACGATGCTCTCGGATGGAGCCATTTACAGCAGCATTGACTTCACTACCAAAACCACTTACAACAGTTCCAGCCAGATAACACAGGCCACCCCATATGCCACGACGCAGATCTTGCATTCCAACAGCATACATGAATTGGCTGTCGATCTGCCTGATCCACAGTGGAAAAGCTCAATTCAGCAAAAAACAGATCTGATGGGATTCGGTTATTCTCTACCTGATCAGAACAAAGGTAACAACGGTGAGTCAGGTTTTCGTTTCCTGAGGAGTTATTTTCATATCATTTGTGCATGACATAGAAAGTAGTATTTGTTGTTCGACTTAGTGATTCATTACCAGGTTTACCACCTAAACTAAAAAAAGATATCGGCATGTTTCCAGTAACTTGAATAATTCCTACCACCACCACCGCCACCACCACCGCCACCTCCACCACACACCAGTGCCAATCGGTTTCATCTTTTAGCTCTTTTTCAACATAATGATCAACAATCCATCTCTACTTTCATTAGGACAGGGTAGACAAAACATTCCTCCGCTCCCCCACATCTGCTTCTGAGTTGCTAACTGCATGTTCTGCATGGGCTTGTGCTGTGAACTAATCACATGATGCCACTATGACCTCTGCCCTTTAACCCTTAGCCTTACTTTACATTCCTGACTACCGATTGGCTGAGGGATTGTCTAATAGAATGCCACACAACCAGTCTCAGGATTTCAGCACCACCAGCTCTCACAACAGCTCAGAAAGGAGTGGCAGTCTCTCAGGTTGGTCTCATCACAGTAAGGAGAAATATTTGTTTGTCACCAGCATATGACCTGTGTTCCTAACAACCATGAAGATATACTGAATCACAGCTCACTGTCAGGCATTTATCTGTCAAATGACAACAGTTTATGCTAATGAAATCATGCCTTGGTGGGATAAAAGGGAAGAGAAAAATCACTGTCCCCTTTTATATACTAACCCTATGAGGATATATTTAAAGAAAAATTATGCCATTCTACTAAATACCATTCATTAAAGAACAGAGTAAAGAGAATTTTGTGATAAAAAGATCATACATGAAAGTCAATTCCATGTTATAGATGCCAAAAGATGAACTCAAATGAAAATGATTTTGGAGTGCTTCATAATATTAGTATTTCATTGATGTGACCTCCTATTTTTGGACACGATTTCCAAATACCATATAATAGGATTTGTTATCTATTGAATGGTATTCTACTGCACTGTACAAGAAAGTTAATAGGGGAAATTAATATTTAATTTCCAAAAAATCATACAATCTTTGATATTGATAATTCTTTTATGGTATAAATTTTAATATGTATTTGAGATATAGCAGATAAACTGACAATCTATAATGTCGGTATCATATAGCACAAATGGAAAGAAACACCTTTACTGGACAAAAATATATACCTATTGTAATGACTTATGTGTGAAATTTTCCTGGCCCAAAGATCCTTACCTGTAAAATGAGGAGATTGTAGTAGACACACTCTAACTTTCAACCATGACATTTACATTGTATGGCTGATGACTTTGTGCATTTCTAATTTATTCCATGACCCCACTTGTCTAATTTGTTTGAATTAACTATATGCTATTTGTTTGTACTGAGATTTTGTTTTATTTTTTAATTACAGGTTATTTGTAAAAGACTATAGTGTATTATGGCATGCCACAGGCTACCAGGCATCAAAGCCATAAAGAGTTAAACTTTTCACATCATTAGGGTAACATTTTCTAAATTACTTTTCCTCAGGAGATGGAACCCTTTCAGTCTGAAAATGTTAATGCTCCTTCTTCCCTTCAAAATGGGTCATTTGCTCTTCTTGCCTATTGGTAGAATTAGCTATATTATAGAATCCAGAAAATTTTAAACATCTGTTATGAATTTAAACGGGTTTGATAATATAGGAGAACTTTTGTAATGACCTTATATGTCATTTAGACTGCTATTTATTCATAATAAGTCTCACAATTGTTCTGAATAATTAAAAAGTAATTTATCTTGGGCTTCCTTTTTATTTCATTAAAGATATGCAAAGTCACATGCAGTACGTAAAAATAAATCTATATACTATAATCCATGGATTACATAAGACTTTTAAAAATCTTTCTTTCTTTAAGTATTCTATATGTGTTGATTGCTACCACCAAGTTGTAAAAGTTGTCTTTTGAGTGATTGTAAGCAGAATACAATTCACAATAGTGCTTAGTGCTTTTTCAAATCCATTAATCTCCTGAGTGACATTTATATATATCTATGAATTATATTAACTACTTAATCTACATTTGAATACAAAATTACTTAAATCGATGATAGAAAGCGTTCTTTAGTAGGTGAGAGTGAAGTGATTATTCTCTTTTTAGTTTAGCTCAATTGAGTTTAATATTAGGGTTTTGTCTTATGCTTATAATCACAGGTGTGTTTCCTAAGACTTAAATTTAAGATCAAACCACCCTGTGGAGAGCTAGTCAGATGGTATTATAAGATTTTCCTAATTTGTGCATAGCAATGTAAGCAATTTAAAATAATCACAGTGATAAAAGTGGACATTTCTGAATTATTTGAGTGAGCGTGTCACCCTCTTTGAAACACTTAATATTTATTCAATACATAAGTTCTGAGCACTTCCATTAAAAATCTAACCATTAAAAATATAAAATCACCAGCCTGGGCAACATGGTGAAACCCCATCTCTAAAAAAAAATACAAAAATTAGTCAAGCATGGTGGCACTTGACTGTATTCCCAGGTACTTGAGAGGCTGGGGTAGAAGGATGCTTGAGCCTGAGAGGTTGAGGCTGCAGTGGATGTGATTGCACCACTGCACTCCACCTGGGTGACACAGTGAGACCCTGTCTCAAGGGAAAAAAAGTGTATATATACATATATATTAATATATATACAAATCAAAGAATTTATATATGTAAGTCATTAAAATACACTCCCTTAAAAGATAATATAGGCAATTCCCACCTTAAAATGATTGAAGGTTCTTTGTTTGCAAGTAACAGCAACAGACTGTGGCTTACTTCACTCAAGGTTCAGATCTCAGAGAATGTATAAGTGGCTTTGGTTCTGTCGTATGCTCTCCACCATGCTGTGAACCTACCACTGCTTACGGCTAAAAGAAGTCAGGTGTGTTGATATGTAATCCTGCATGCACTGCCCATAATGAGAGAGCAGAAAGTTCCTCAAAAGAAGAGAAAGTGATTGTTGAATAGAAAGCCCTCACACGTCTTCTGTGAATCGCCCCTGTTTCCAAAATACATTTTTAAGTCTGGAAGAGTAGGTAATGAATGACTTTCTTGAACTTTGGACAATGACTGCAGCAGAATTCAGGGCTCTAGAAGTAGTAATTTCCAGTAAAGAAAGCTGCTGCACTCTGAATTCTGATTTTTCTTTTACTGGGTGAATATGGACCATGTGACACTCAGAATGAACCTCAATTGCTTCATTGATAAAACGGAGATGCACGAACTTGTCTGTTTCTGTTACTCAGTTCTGGTGGTGACCACCTAACATTTCTGAAAGTACTATGGAAAACGAAAGGTGCTGTATATTTTTAAATACATAAGGAATAAAGGAGGTCCAACTAGAGAGAAAGCTATGGAAGACAAGTAGCCCAATCTGGTCCCCTTTTAATCATTGAAATAGAGTTCTGATACTACAACAGAAGAAATGGTTCCTGTGTTGTAATTTTGCTGACTCATCAGGAAACAAAGGATTAAGGTTCATCTACCTTAAAGACAAACAATACAGATTTATATTCAAGCAAGTTTATTCTTATTCTGAGAGTCAGGCTGTTCGTGGGATACTCATGGGGCCTGCAGAAGTTGCGAATAAAGAAAGCTTTAGAAATAAGAGGAGCTGGGTTTGCTCTAACATAGAGGATATGGGAAGGAAAGAACACAAATGAGTGGCATTTATTGAAAGTTCTGTCCATTCTGAGTAGTTGATATGCATTGTCTCTTGTAATTCTCAAAGTAACTCAAAGAAGTAGTAACTCAATATCTGTTTTACATGTGCCAAAATGTAGGCAGTAACTATTGAGTAACTTATCCAGTAAGTGGGAAGCTGGTCTGTAAACCCAGATGTGAAACCTTATCCTCTAAGCAAAAGATATCTGCTCTCCTTCCTCTTAAAATCTTTTATTCTACCAAACAAGTACAATAAAAGTCAAGGTGAAAGCAATTTGTGTGCAGGGATGTTCTTCGAAATGTGTGCGAAGGTGCACATGCTATGTGGAAAACATACACAATTTTATAACTGGCAATAAAGTATATATCTAGTTTAACAGTTTTATCACTTCCTGGTGCTCAAATATGTTCCTGTTAAATTACATAATATTCGATATGGCTGATGCACATGAGTAATTGGTAGAAGTAAGGAGACAAGTAGGCCTCTAGTGATACTATAATATATTGCTAAGTAGCCCTGCTTCAAATGGTTTTTGCTTACAACTTGTGGTTCCAGAAAGATGAAGTCCAAAGGATCAGTAAGATTTTTGGCAGATATTGCTGTAGGCTGTGGTGGGAGTCACGGAAGTTATATAATGTCCCCTGAAACGTCCTTCGTTATTCTGCTCCAAGAAATACTCATTCCTCATCTAACTGTGGTTCACTTTTAAGGAAGAAGCTTTATCTACTTAATTTTTGAAGAGTAAAAACCATGGCACTGTCCAAATGATAAATTATATTTTTTATATTTCATTAAGCTCCATGTAATTCTAGATATGGCTCATATGCTGCCAACTTACTTTCTTCTCATGTTTTGCGCATGAATTCATTCGTAATGCAATGCTACTGAAACTGATTACTGTATTAATTTTCCTTCCTTTTTGGAATGTTATGTCATGTTATGCTTAAAATAGCTAAGAACTATTCACATATGCAAAAATAATTGTGCCGTTCATTAGTTAAAAAGTCTATAAAATGTATCTTCGGAAAGTATTTACAGGTATTTTCTCGATTGTAGCTGATTGATTTTTATCAGTTACTTTCGAGATAAAAATTGGTACCCTTCCTTGATTAATTAAATTGAATACATTCTAAAGGAAGAGTTTAGCCTAGATCCTTACACCTTGCATTTTCCACTGAGAGAGATTATGCAAAAGAGCATTATAAGTGTACTAAAATTTGACATTTAAAAGAATTTGTTATGGCCCATTATTTCCTCTAACAATGAAAATGTGAAGGCAGCAGATGTGAATAAATCAATAAGCATGCTTTTGATACAGCAGCCATGTTTTTGGTTTATTCGGCTCTGCTGTTAATGCACTGGGAAAAAAAAAAAAAAGTATCATTTTGAGTGATTTATAAAAATGTTTTTCTGATTATATCATTTCATTGTTTATAGCTTTTAACAACTCCAACATACTGATTCTGGTGTTTTGAAACATAAATACATCTTGGCGTCTGATGTATTCTATTTATTCTGCTATTTGGCATCTCTGAATAAATACGTTATTACTTTCAGGTGGGAAAGGTGGAAAAAAGAAGAAAAATAAAAACTCTTCTAAACCACAGAAAAACAATGGATCCACTTGGGCCAATGTCCCTCTACCTCCTCCCCCAGTGCAGCCCCTTCCTGGTACAGAGCTGGAACACTATGCGGCAGAACAACAAGAAAATGGGTAAAGATATTTTATATACTAACCAAATGGCCAGGGCTCTCCTCTCGTCTCTGTTGTTCATTTTTGCCATCATCTTATGTTCTCTTACTGTTTCCTTTGGCCCCCACCACCATGTTCACTGCATTTTCCCCTCTTTTACTGTTTGCGCTGTCTATATATTTTTAGCTGGTAAATACAAAACAGCACATATTGAGGACGGAGAATCCTTGGCCTTCAAGTGCCTTAGATTGTCTGCAATCATGATAATAGAGCCTCCATTTATAATATTGCTTGTTAGTTTGAAAGCAAGTACCCACAGCTCTGTGAACTAAAGAGCCACTCCTGAGAAGGGCTGAAAAGGGAATTAAAATAACCTTCTTCATCATCCCTTGCAGTTCTCTAATGACTTGATGTCTGGCCATAGCAGGGCGCCACTGTAGAGCTCCATCACAATGGGATAATTGTAGGGACCTGGCCAGTGGGTAGAACTTTAATCATCAGCTCTGATGGGAATTTAGGGGCCAGAACAATCATAGAGCCAATGCACACTCTGTAATGAAACCTTTTTAAGTTACAGCATTTTCTTCGAGGGCCTTTAAATGTGACCAGTTTCCTTATTCTTTCCCAAATGTCTCACAAGAGTGGGTTTTCCTCTGTTAGTTTAAGCCTTAATTGATTTTAAATACAAAGACACTGATACTTTTTATCCTCTAAATCAAAAAAAGAAAAAAAACACTGGTCAAAAAATCATACTGTTTCCTTTTCCAGTTTAATAATTCTGAATGTTTTGTCTTTCTTATAATTCCCAGGTCACTGTTTATTTTGACTGGGCCTTTATGTAGCTAAAAATATAGATAAAAGCAGTTTTTCTTTTTGCAGGATTTTTTTTTTTACTTAGAAATATTTAGACATTAAAATAAATCCATTCATTTCTATAATGGCTTTTTTTTTGTCTTGCTTTAAAAAATCTCATATACATGCTCATACATTTTTTCTTCATCCTCTTTTATTTGTACATAACTCTTGTCTTTGAGGTCTTCAGATTAATTTTTCTAACTAGAATTTTCTATGTCATAACATTAGCTTCCTTTAATGATATCATTTGCATTTTGGTAAATAACATATATATACATATATACTCTATATATGCAATGTATATATGTATACACACACACACTAATATTTTTTGTCTATGTCTTCCTCTCCCTCCAAAAGCCTTCATTTGTCTCTCTGAGATTGTAGCACTTATCATATATGCATATATTGTTATTTTAATTCTTTTAAGTTCACATTTGAAATGGGAAACTAAAAGCATGTTCTGTGTCCTCTTTCTCTAACTTAAAAATAAAATTCTGTAGATGATCTTAATTTGTATTAATGTTATAAATGTGTCAGTGTCACATGAATCGTAAACAAAGAAAAACCAAAGCTGTATATTCCACAAGAAAAGATTATTACAGAGCTTAGAAATCTGCATTTTAAAAGCTGAAGTCAGAGAATACAGAAATGGGGACTTGTAAAATGGGAAGAGAAAGTAGTGCTGTTAAGCTTTATATGCATAAAGTCTTGAACTCATATAACATGAAAATTGTGGATAATTTGGAGGGTTTTTTTCCCATTGAGTCTACTAAATAATACATAGACTATAGTAATTTCTGTAACCCCCTGCAATAAAACTAACTAATTCAAAATCAATGCTAAACTTCTCACTTTATTTTATTATCTTGCAGTGGAATTGGAAATATTCATGAAATAATAGATGAAACAAATTTTTATGATTTAACACAAACTATTTTCAGTATAATTAAGATATAAAACACAAAATTGTTTCTACATATTTGGAAACTTTATGTTTATGTATATGTTTTTTTGAGTCACTTACCTTCAAGTTTTTGTTTGTCTTAAATACCTAGTATTTGCTTTAAAAAAAGTTATAATTCTTACTAAAAATAGTGGTTAGATCTTAGTCAGTAATATTGACAACAAAATTCAATTTCATTATTTTTTGAGTTCAGTTTTTAAAAGGCTAACCCTTGAAAATTATTATTTAATTGTTTATAATAAAAACACATATTTAAAGTTAATATAAAAACAAATACAAATTAATAGATTTTGGCATGATTTTGTCCATTTTTTGATGTATTCTTTATACTTTTATGTTTTCTAATTGGTGAACCATATGATACTGAAAAAGAAAGATTATTGAACACAGTACAGTATTCTACTGTTCATGATATTAAGTAATTCACAAAATAAATCTTCAAAATTGATCTTCTAGAAAATTTTTCTGTAATTTAGAGCCTTCATAATTCAGATTTAAGCTTTTCTTGATATACAAAATATGAAAACTTCAGATACTTTTTTTGCTCCTGATACTTATTAGAGACCAGACACTAAACATGTCTTGCTCCTGACACACACACATGCACACACACAAACACAATTTTGTATGATAAGCACTAGCTGAGCAATGTGGAAGAACTAATAATTTCCCTACAGAAAGGGGCAATTATATATACCAGGGAAGCCTGGGAAAAGCTTGTAGAAGTAAAGTTTTGAGGTGAATCTAGAATCATTTATTCACGAATAATAGAAAAACATTTGGTGGCTGCTGGATGCCAGGCACGGAGCCAAAAATAAGGACAACGATAACAAGAAAATGTCTCTGTCCAAAAGTGGTCTAGCATTAGAATAGATTGTTAGTCAACAGCAATAACAAAATTTTACTATTGTTGTGATTTTCTGTGCGAATGGAGACAAATTTCCCTGGCGAAAGACCAAAAAAAGAAAAAAAAAAAAAAGACTATAAATATAATACAATGAAAGACGAGAAAACAGGAAATAGCAAAGAGCCCCGTAGTCCTCCTTCTGAATTCCCGCCCTCTTTTAGGGAAGGTTATTTGCCTGCGTGTTTTTGTTATTCCTAATGCTTGCTGCTCTATTGTAGTACTCCTCATGTTGCACTTCATTGCTTGTCTGTGTCCTTTATCAATTTGTCGCTGATGTATGAGGCTTGTTGAGTTTGAAAACTGCGTAGGGTAGGAGATAATCTAAGAAGATGTTTTGAAGCCAATTGTGAAGCTTTGTATGTCACATTGGAGTTCTGATGTTTGAGTATAGATGATGGATTGGAGGATGTGAGGCTGGGGCAGGTAGATAAAGCATGGAATATCACAGTAGAATGGCTAATATCATGTAAATGATAGGGGAATAAAACAAAGCAATGGCAATGGGATGGAAGAAAGGTAAGTATTTAGGAGATATACCTAGCTAATGGTAATCATCACCTTGAAAATATTGTCTCTAGTTTTTTGTTACAATATTTAGTATTATTTCTAAAAAGCTTAGCTATCATCAGTTTTCATTCTAAGCCTTTCCCCACAATATCAAAATAAATATCAAAATAAAATAAAAAGTGTCAGAATATCAAGTTACCAGCTACCCAAAGAAGAAAATTATTTGTTAATTCACTAATATAGCAATGAAGGCAATGCTTTATCCCTTCAATATTCTTCTCTCAGCTTGACAAAAGTATGTCAAAATGTATTAATCCCTAACTATAAATACAGTGCATTTTATTATAGTCATATGATTCTAGGAAGAATTCAATGGTAATTAAATTGAAAAGTGGGGCTTTTCTTTGCTACTGCAATTGGAGATTGGCAAGCTTCTGCCAGTGTTGAACTTTATTGTGTTTTTATTAGTAATTTGGTATTTGTGTCTGGCCTTTTACAGGTTCATTCACATGCAACATTGATTTGTTGTCATCTTTATCATTATTCACCAGGCAAGACAAATAATATGATGCCTCATAGTTCACTGACAATAAGTCAGAGAACAAAACCTTCTCCCAGAAAGGTTGATCAAAAGATCTTTGGTTTGGCATTAGCAGCATTTTCACAGTCTTTTTCAATGTTACTACAAGAAAAAGTTGAAATTCTCTCACTCAAATAAGATGTGTATCTGTAAAATGTGAAGGAAACTAGATAAACAGAGCTACACTTCATAAAATTTATAGTGTCATCTGTTACTTTCTTATCCGTCTTCGGTAACTGCATGAAACCTAAGTATTTGTTGCTTGCAATGGATTAAGACATGAACACCGTAGAGATAACAGACCATTCTTCTCCTTCATATGATACACTCCGTGCCCCAACTTTCCTTCATTTATTCTTTCAGGTTCTTTTAGTCTTTTCTTTTATCTCTTTTTCCATTTTTCCTCTTTTGGCACATGGTAAGTAGATGGATCTGTGGACATTTTTTAGCTTCGCTATCCCCGAAGGGGTAAAGAATTTGCTCCTTCCTGTTCTAAATTATATTTACAAAAAAAAAAAGACACAGAAAAATTGGTGACAATTGGCCGGGCACGGTGGCTCAGTCCTGTAATCCCAGCACTTTGGGAGGGCCAAGTCTGGCGGATCCCGAGGTCAGGAGATCGAGACCATCCTGGCTAACACGGTGAAACCCCGTCTCTACTAAAAATACAAAAACTAGCCGGGCGCGGTGGCGGCGCCTGTGGTCCCAGCTCCTCGGGAGGCTGAGGCAGGAGAATGGCGGGAACCCGGGGGGCGGAGCTTGCAGGGAGCCAAGATGGCGCCGCCCACTCCAGCCTGGGCCGCAGAGCGAGACTCCGTCTCAAGAAAAAAAAAAAGAAAAGTGATAGCATTAATTCTAGTTAATGACAATAGCTAATGAAATATGTTTTAGTTAATTAATGCATTAAGCAATGTATCTGACTGATGTCAAAAACAATATTTATATAGTTAGGCTCTCCTTGGCCTGACATTATTTGATTAGTAAAAATGAATTGAGTGCACCAAATTATAATTTTTCTTATGTTTTCTTAGCACATGATGCATGTAACACATATTTCTTCTAATATATTCTCTGTGAATTTTCATTTCATGTGTATATAGCCATTAGATTTTCAAAAGTAAGGATATCTTACCACCTGTGAGGTTTCAGAAAAATCTTAGGAAATTATAATAGACTATTTCCATTTGAAAAATTGAATATGTAAACATTTTGTTTCTTTTTTCCAAGGTATGATATCCTTGGCAACGACCAAGTGTAAGTAAGGAAAGTGCTCCTATTACTTTTTGGCAAAAAAAAAAAAAGGACTCTTTTGTAGTAAGATTTACAAAGTAAATTTAATTATATCTGGTTATGAAGCAAGCACATTTCATATTGAAAATTGACAGTTCTCTTGATTAGTCTCCTCTTATGTATTTCTGTTTAACTTAATAATGTGGCTTAAGTCAGATAAATACATTATGAAAAAAACCCAAAGCATTCTAATTAGTGGAATGATTTGTGTGTTTTCAAATCAAATCACTACATACACTTATGACTTGCTCTTTTTAAGGTGTTATATTAGATGTAACAAAACAAGAACAGTTCAATGTCATAACTGTAATGCACTTGAGGAAAAGGTATTATAAACATGTGAAAAGTTAAATACTAAAATAAATTAGTCAACAGTTACGGAAACCAACACTGAAAATGACATAAGACTGTATACAATCAATTTTCAAAAAAATGTGCTAATATATTGTCAGTGCAAGTTCAGAAGAGTAATGTATGAGAGCTGGTTGGCCTCATCAAGGAAATCTTCATACAAGACATGGGATTTAGCCTGTGGCTTGAAGGATTTATAAGATTAAGATAGGTAAAATTGGAGGAGTACAGCTTACTGCAAATAAGTTTGTTCTTAAAAATAAATGCACCAGGATGAGGAAAAAATACAAAGAAAGATGAAAACAAACTGATTTATTCAAGCAGGAGATTCTTGTTGTAAAATCTGTCTGAAAAGGTAGATTGAGGCTTAGACATAGTCAATGGTTGGAATAAAGAGAAGTAAATATTTTTATTCAGACCATTCTGTTGTTTTCATAGATGAATTTGTAAGTGGCAGGCAAGATTGATTAGAGGATGGGAAAAACTGAAAGCAGCAAATCCCACCAGGATAGTGAGTTACAATATTTTAAAGCAATAGGATCTTTTTCCATGTGAAATTTAATTGTGATCTCCAACATATAAAACAGATAAAAAAGGCACCAATTTTTTTAGAGCAGTATGTTTTTTCAATTCAGATTAGCACTGATTACATAGTCAATTAAATGGGAATACAGTTTAAATGATGGTGTTTTCTAGTATAAAAATTGCTATTTGTAACACACTAGTGTGTGTCTGTTGTTTATAATGTCTAATATAATAGGAGGAAATACTGATATCAAACCGCACAGGACTTCTGAAACAGGATCTTGCAACTCATTTACTGCGTAGCCTCCTCAAGAGAAGAAAATGGCCATGGGAACGAAAATAAAGGAGTTAAAATGATAACTAGCTTTGAAGGAAGAATCTTTGGAATTTGGGAAAAAGAGTTTAGGGGTCTAAGGAAATTGAACATCCAAAGATGCTATTATTCCCCTGAAAAAAACAAACAAAAACCCTTTCTGTAACTATCTGTCGCCCGCAGGAAAATGTCAGACTCCTTGTAGGGGCTGACAAGGCCTTCAGTGACCAGCCTATCCCTAACTCTCTTGCTTCTTCCATGGCCAATTTTCTTCTTTCTTTGCCAGCTCTTGGCATTTAGGGAAGTATTTGAACTCTTCAAATTATTTTCTCTTCCTCTGGGCTTCCACACGTGTTGCTTAAAATATTCCTTTTACTGGTGGTCAACATAGCCCTGCCCAACTCCAAAACTAGTTTAGACCTCCTGCTTTCTGCTTTTGTAGCATCATTGATTATTTGTTTCATATCAGCTTTCCCCACTGAAGTGTATGCTCTGTGAAATAGATTTAGGACCCTGACACATAACTGTCCAAAAAAATAAATTTATAGTTGTTTTTTAAATAAAGTTTATTTTTACATCTCTTTTAGGCTCACAGCAAAATTGAGCAAAAGGTACAGATTTATCCCAGCCCCCACACGTTGATAGCCTCCCTAGCTATCAACATTCTCCACCAGAGTGGGACATTTGTTACAAATGATGCACATACAGTGACACATCATCATCGCCCAGCGTCCACAGTTTACATTAGGGTTCTCTCTGTGTTGCACGTTCTGTGGATTTGGACGAATGTAATACATGTGTCCACTGTTATTGTACAATACAGAGTGGTTTCACTGCCCTGAAATTCCTCTGTGCTCTGCCTATCCATGGCTTCCTCCCATCTAGCCTCTGGAAACTAGTCATCTTTTTCCTGTCTCCATAGTGTTGCCTTTTCCAGGGTGTCAAGTAGTTGGAATCGTATTGTGTGTATCTTTTTTAGACCTTTCACTTGGTGATATGCGTTCAAGTTTCTCCCATGTCTTTCTATGGCTTGACAGCGCATTTCCTTTTAGCAACGAATAATACTTCATTGCATGGATTTACTGCAGCTTATTTATCCATCTACCTACTGGGAGACACACTGCAGTTTATTTATCCATCTACCTACTGGGAGACACGCTGCAGCTTATTTATCCATCTACCTACTGGGAGACACGCTGCAGCTTATTTATCCATCTACCTACTGGGAGACACGCTGCAGCTTATTTATCCATCTGCCTACTGGAAGACATGTTGGTTGCTTCCACATTTTGGCAATTGTGAATAACACCAATATAAATATACAAGTTCAAATTTTATGATAAATTCAGCTTTTAAACAAAGGCTTTCAAGTGAAATATTCAAGAATCATCCGGACATTTATGAGTTACTGTTTGTAAGAAGGATCAAGACTACAGATGTAGATTTCTGATATTTACTAATACCACAGTTTCCCTAATGAATAGCTCCCATGTACGAGAAACTGTACTACTACAAGAAGTAGCTGAGAATTACAGCTTTCTTGAATTTAAGAATCTCACAAAATAGTGGGAGAAAAGAGACACAGAAACAAATAACCTCAATATAATATGGGGAGTACCACAATATAAGTATTATGGAATTGCGATTAATTCCATTTGGAGTGGGGAAGAGAAGACTTCACAAAACTGATGACATTTGAAGTGACTCTGGTTGAAGGAGGAGTAGGCACTTACAAGCAAGTGATTAAGAACAGTCATAAACAGAGGCAGACTTTAGAAAAAAATAGAGTATATGGATGTTGAGGAAATAGTGCGAGATTAAGCTAGAAAGATGGGTTTATCAGATGAGGATGGGTTTTTTAGACCCACCTAATGAGTTGGAGAGGTCTTTTTTTTAAAAATAATGCTAGTTATAATCACTGAATAATTTTAGGCTTAAGCATGATGTGGATGAAGATTTTAGAGACATAATTCTGTTGCATGTGGGTGAGAAAGGGTGGAAGAGAAGTTGATACCAGAAGAGTAGGAGAAAGCAAATGAGCTAGTTTACAGCAGGAAACTGATGTGTGATTGTGGGAGTGGGGATGAAGTGTAGGAGAAAGATTCACTAGATATTTAAGAGGTTGAATTTATAAGACCATTATATCAAATAATATTATTTATCTTTTCCTTGTCTGTGTTTAAAAGGATGTTATAATCTATTTGATTTCTGAAAGTATTCGGACTACAGAGAATTGAAATAAAAATGCTATTGATTTTGTCTCATGGTTAAAACTTTTTGGATTAATTTTCTATATTCGCAGACCACAGTCCCTAAAAAAATTTTAAATAATTGTTATATTTTACACTCAAAATTTTTTAAAAGGATAGATCACATGCTAAACTTTTTTTACTACAATAGAAGTATCATTTTTATTTTATAGGGCAAGGTTTTGAACTCCCATTTTATGTTTTGCATTTGGATGACAAGATAAAGAACATTGGTTTTTACTGAGAAAATTAGGAGAATCAAAGAGATACTGAATGCATTTATATCATAGTCTTAATGACATATGGAATGAAAGGTTGTCAGATATCTAGAATAAGAATAAGTAAAATTCTCCAATACTTCTTAGATAATCAATCAGCTATATTGGCATGTAATGTTGGTGCACAAGTATGAACAGGCGAAGGAAGTAGTTAAATCTATGAGCACTAAATTCATTAATTGTCTTTAATTAGCAATTTGGTTTTTTCACATGAGTAAGTTTGTTGGGAAGTTATTGCCTCTTGTAACTGTGGGGTAACAATTAGCTAATAAGGTCTTTTAAGAATAAATTAAGATATTGAGATAACAGATGTAATTACAATTAGAAGTTAAGATAACAGCCAGGTGATTTACTGTGGTAACACCAACAGCTTCAGGAAGAAATAAACCGCGAGAGCATTTCAGATACCATGTGGTTGCTACTTACTGCCAGTATAATTGCGTGCATGTATGTGTATGTGTATTTGTGTCAATGTGCATATTTTTCTCATTTAATTTCAGCTATGACAGTGATAGCTGGTGCCCACCATTGCCAGTACAAACTTACTTACATCAGGGTCTGGAAGATGAACTGGAAGAAGATGATGATAGGGTCCCAACACCTCCTGTCCGAGGCGTGGCTTCTTCTCCTGCTATCTCCTTTGGACAGCAGTCCACTGCAACTCTTACTCCATCCCCACGGGAAGAGATGCAACCCATGCTGCAGGCTCACCTGGATGAGTTGACAAGAGCCTATCAGTTTGATATAGCAAAACAAACATGGTAAATATCTTCATTAAGTCAAGAGACCCATACTTTCAACACATGGATTTTTTAAAAATAAATTCACAAGAGATTCTGATAGAACTACACAGCTAAGTGTAAAAGTGATTTTGTATAACTCCTTAATCATTTAGATAAATATATTCACGGCAGAAATGTTAAATAATTTGGCCAAAACTAGAACTAGAACTGAAACTGGAACTGGAACTGGAGCTGGAACTAGAACTAGAACTAAAATTAGAACTAGAGCAAGAATTCAAATCTGCTGTATTTCAGGCTAAAGTGCTCTTGGCTACGCCAGAATCTTCTCTCATTTATGGTTTATCTTCAGTTAGCATATCCTTGAACTCACATCCCATGATGTAATACAAGACTCATTTTAGATTCCTCAAAGTGCCTGTGATTAATTCTGTATGTGGTTGTCAATATGTAAATGTGAACTTCTGCAAATCACATATGGTCAGTATTAGTTATTAAAAGACTCTCTTTACCTGGGTGAAATGCAACAGAAAAAAACAACAATATTAGTGTCAGTAAATGCATGAAAAGCAGGAGTAATCAAATATTTCACATTTCTTTTTCTAATCAATCTATAAACTTCTATAAACTATAGGTGGCAATTTACCTAGGTATCCTGAGGAATTAACACAGATATATAAATGAGACTAACTCTCACACTTTTATACAGGTTTTTTTTGTTGTTGTTATTCAATCTTTCTATTTTAATTCTCAAAGGCAAGACTGTTACTTCACTATTTTAAATCTCCATGTCATACTCCAATTTTCTTCTGTTGATTTACACTTTGTGCTTGAAGTCTGAGTAAATTTTTTAAATAGTATTTGTTTTGTTTTTTAAAATAGTTCTAGCCTTGGGGATAAATAATTCTTATGCTCATTATTAATGAAGTATTTATTTTTAAAATACAGCTAACTGCACATAGAGATACCAAAAGCAGGAGTATTACTTAAAGATCATTACAAACAGCCTCTTTTCTTAAGATAAGACAATCTTGAACATTTTCCAACAATTGTCAGATGCTTTCTCAAAGGTCAAAGACAACTTGCCGTTAAACGCTATTATTTTTCATCAATCTGCTTTTTATAAAACATCACTATGTAAGTTGAAGTCAGCTGCTTCAAGAGCCATAGAATTCCTTCATGTTAATTAATGAAGCAATGCCGTTTGGTCGTCTAAAGCACAGACTCAAGCTGAAGGGTTCTCAGATTTGCCTACATTTTAGAACCATTTGGATAACCTTAAAACATATTGGTACCTGGGCTCCACTCCCAGAGAAACATTCTGACCGCCATGATCTGGAATTTGACTGCGACAGCCAAAGTCGGGACTACTGCTGTGGAGATGAACCTGTCTTACTGGCTGCATGACTTTGGGCAACTTACTAAACATTTACATGCTATAGTTTCCCCACGTGTAAAATGATGGTGATAATAGTAATTAGCTCATATAGGAAATTAGGGGGCAGTCCCCAAGACCACCTATATTTCTGATAGCAAGTATAAGTTTCAGGGGTCCCTAAGACCACCCTGAAGTTTGAGAATTCCCTATAGTAAGTCATGGAACTCACCAAAAGATTTTACACCCAAAGCTACAGTTTATTACAGTGAAAAGATATGCATTAAAATCAGCCAAAAGAAGAAATGCATGGGACATAGTCCAGGAAAATTCCCAAAGCAGAGCTTCCGGTTGTCCTCTCTCAGTGGGATCACAGACAGCGTTACTTTCCCAACAAAAAGCGTGACATTAAACACCAGGGAGAATTGCCAGCCAGGGATGGGCACACCTTCCCTGAGGTCCTGCGACCTCACTTTGGCTCTGTCACACAGACATTGTTGACTACCCACATGACTGACCTCAATTTCCAGCCCCTCCAGAGGCTGAGGTGATACCGTGCAACTCCAAGCCCCACCATAAATCATATTGCTGTGCTTTCTGGAGTAGCCTAAGGTCTCTAGGTAAACAGAGAGACTTTTATCAAGCAGGACATTCTAAGGGCTTAGAGATTACCTCCCGGGAGTAGAGGGCAAAGGCCTAATCTCTCTTGGGTCGAGCTTCAATTCTTCTGTTACATATCCTAATTTTTGTGAGAATGAAATGAGTATGAACTTATATACTACTGTACCTGGCTGTGTATTAGCTGTTGTTATTTAGAAAGGCCTGGGTTTTCACCCCTGAGTTCTTCACTGCTGTCTTCCCACACTTAGAAGAGTGTACCACTTAGTAAGTGCTTGATAGATATTTGCTAAAAGAATGAACAAATTAGTTCATCTCCACCTGCCCCAAACACCCATAGAGGACACCCTGTTTCTTTTTCTGAGTGTGTTCCTACTCAACCAGCAATCTTTCAGAACGTCTTGGCTGACTCTACCTATGGGAGTTATGAGCCTGCATGTGCTTCTGGTTTGGAAGTGACTCTCCATCCGGGTTGCACGCCGACATCATAGGAGGACCGTTGAACAAATAATAATTCCCAGGCTCCACCTCGCAGGATCTGTTTATATTCATTGATGAAGTAAACAGCACAGTGCCTGTCACTGGAAGATATTTATAAATGGGTTATGTATCCTCTTCCTGTATTTCATTTTACCTCTTAATTTTGCTTAAATAGGAGTACATTTTTCATCCATCAAGGTATATTTGTTTTATCAAGAGGTGTCAACAGTGATGTAGGGACCAGAGTGTTGGTCTGATCCATGCTTTCCAGGACCAAAGTCCACATCCTTATAGGAGAATGAATCATATTGCCCTATAGCCTGTGGCTCATCTCTTGGCTGCCTCCCTTCCCAATTCATAAGCAGATTGGAGGCAACATTTATAGCAAGATGTGCTCATCTGTCCTCAAGCTTTTCTGTAGTAATACTTAGGAAACTTGCTATTTCTTCTGATTTTTCAACTAGCAGACTGTGATGAATGCCAAATACTAACTTGGGGCCTCAACTTCCTAATCTATTAAAGAATGAAGATTGGGGTCTGATGATATTGAGGAAACTTCCAGAACTAGAAATTGTTTTAACATTGAAATATCAAGAATCCTGTTAACATTGAGGTTGGTTACAAGTTCAAGAAGCCATTTGGGAGAGGAATATTAAACAAATTCGGGAAGATTAAAATACTTTCCCCAAAGCATGCAAATGACAGAGAAAAATAGTCTAATGTCTTTCATTCACGAGCCAACACTAAAAATGCATAGTACTTTTTAATATCTCCCTTGAATAGGAGATATTAAATACCTTACCTTTTTTATGAAGGCAAAGAAAATACTATGTTAAAACATGTAGTACATTCACTTTTTAATGCTGGTAACAAATAACAATGAATTGATTTCATTTAGCATTTTATGGTTTTGAAGAAAATCTGAGTAGACTCAAAACAAATCAACTGGACCTTACTGCCCAGCTTCACATTTTGTTAGCTACCTGGTTTGAAACAAGTCACTTAAATTTGACCTTCACTTTAATAAATTCTGAAGAAGGTTGGGCCAAGCATGATAGCTCATGCCTGTAATCCCAGCACTTTGGGAGGCTGAGGCAGGATGCTTGCTTAAGCCCAGGAGTTTCAGACCAGCCTAGACAATATAGTCCCACTCTACAAAACATTTAAAAACTAGTTGGGCATGGTGAAGCGCACCTGTAATGCCAGCTACTTGGGAGGCTGAGGCAGGAGGATCACTTAAGCCTAGGAAGTCAGGGATGTAGTGAGCCATGATTGCATCTCCAGCCTGGGTGGCAGAACAAGACCCTGTCTCTCAAAATAAATAATGAATGAATGAATGAAGAAATAAATAAGAGTTGATAATGCATGATCTATTTATTTCATAAGGCTGAGATTAGAATTATTTATTCATTGCAGAAGGTTTATGTAATACACTAGTGTTCTAAACACAGAATGCTTAGATGAATCATTTATGCCTTTGAGGAGTTTAAGACTTTGGTGAGTGAGACAGATGCGTAAATAGCTACTAGAGCAGAAATCAGTTGTGCCCGCCCTAGACTGGGTTACAGTGAATGTGGAAATCACCTTCCAGCCTTGATGTGAGAGGGATCGTGCGGGGAGGAAGCCTTCTAGGGTGGGGAATGTGTTCAGGGTTGGGAGGTAGGTAATATTAGGTCCTCATGTGACATCTTTTCTTCATAAGGGCCAGCAGGCAGCATGGGTTACACAGACTGAGTAGAATTTTGACACTAAACTGGGAACAAAGGTATAGTATTTTTGGAGAAAAATGTCCACTTTAAATAGTTACTCGTGGCGAATATTCCTAGTCCCCTCTAGATGACTTCTTTTCACAAAAATCCTGGGTCTGTATTTTTTTCCTCCATGTATTATCCCAAGAGAAGAGTTTAGTGGTCTATGTTTTTCTTGTTTGGTGAAGCTTATATTCATAGGCACTGTCTCTGCTGAAAGCATTACGAGCTCCAAAATTAGTTAATGGAAAGGAAGAAGACAATATGAGTCACTATAGCATGCATTTCATTAAAATTATGATTTTGTTGCATGTTAATGAGTTGCTTTTCTTTTGTAAATTTCATTTGAATTCTAGGCACATTCAAAGCAATAATCAACCTCCACAGCCTCCGGTTCCACCGTTAGGTTATGTGTCCGGAGCCTTGATTTCTGATTTGGAGACAGATGTTCCAGATGATGATGCTGACGACGAAGAGGAAGCTTTAGAAATCCCCAGGCCCCTGAGAGCGCTGGACCAGACTCCTGGATCCAGTATGGACAATCTAGACAGCTCGGTGACAGGTAATGGAACCAATTTAATAGGAATAACTGACCTATTGGTAACGTTAAAATGCATCAAAAATCAGCTACTTCCTTATTGTAAGATTTATTCCACTCCATCTATTTCTGTAACATTTCAAATATGTTAATATTAAATACAAAATTCAAAAAGGATTTGGAAATACTTCTGCTTTCCTGCAAAAATGATAAGAAAATTCATGAATTTTAAAGAGCTTTAAAGACATGAAAGAAAACTCAGTGGTATCTAGGCTCTCATGAGAAGTTCAGTCTACTAGGAAACCAAGTCTATTACATGAAAACCTTGACTTTTAGAAATGATCTTTTTTATATATCTCAGGAACAACATATGAAGTGAATGCAATCTTAAAATGCTTCTTGATATTTCACTCTGTGAAATCATTCACTGATAGAAAGTAAGCAAGTCTCCTGAATAAGGCACTTTAAGGTTGCACAAGGTATTATTTTTAGAGTGAAGAAAATGTATAGCGAGATAAACCATATGTTTATGCATTTCACATTGCTGAATCTAGTAAATGCTTCTCTTCCAAGAAATGCAGTTATTTTTTCTGTGTACTTCTTTGGCTTCCTCTTGCCTTGTTCACCAAATGAAACAGTTCCATTGGAACTCTTCTATGATGATCCCAGGACTGAGGTATAACCTATTTTCAGGGATTTAAATGTACCAAATTATTTAAAGAAAACTTTAAATCCTAATATGGCCACAATGAATATGGAGAAAACTAAAAATTCAGTCTTTCTATTCAAATAGATATACATTGTTGGGGACACAAGAAAATGCCTCCTACATGACTGTGTAGACAGAGCTACTACAAACTGAAGTCTGGTCTCTGCATTTCACTGGGTCTTCTCAGAAGACCACTCATATTTGTATTTACTGTGATGACATCTTTCATCCTAGGAGGTATTTTACCACAATCCCACTTAATTATGCCAACAGCTTCCAAACTTTCACAGATTTTACACAATGTGTTAGAGTTCTGCAAACACTGATGGAAACTGGCTTATGACAGTGATAAAGCAGCATCAGTGCCTATGATTTTCCTCTGCATTCCTCCCCGAATTACACAATGTGTGATGCACGAGCCCATTTTTCAGTTTTTCTTCTTACTTAGGGGCTGGTCTGCTTGCCAGCCTAATTAAGATTTAAGAGCTGCAGATACACTTCTGTGGTTTGAAATCCAGATGCAACGGATGGTGACAGAGCACAAGTTAAAATCTTCAAATGCAGAGAGCGGACTTATTAGTGCACTATTATGTTAAGCCCCTTTGCCTGAGTTTCCAGCATAATCTCCTTCAGGGTAAAATTCTGCATATTTTTGCATATTTCACTGATGATACTGAACTCTTTTCCATTAGGAATGCAGTAACAAACTGCAATAATGATGAAAAAAAGTCAGCTATAATCTGTGTAGTTCTTTTATTAAATATTATAATGTCAAAGATGATAAATATGTCTATAAATCAGGAGAATGCCATTTTGCACTTTTACATGCTCACCTGTGACATGTTAGGCTACCTGATATGACTGCAGCTCAAGCAATCTGCATTTCTCCTGTAGCTAGTGTAATGTTCACTCCAAATGAAGCTTTTATTGCTAAGAAAAAAAGTCTGGTTTCCTCCTTGAATTCACTGCTTAATTACTGCCATATATAAAAACCTCAGGGTGTTTAGGTTTGTATTCCATGATGAGCTTATCCTATGAATAATACATCTCTTTAGTGAAAGAAGTTGTGCTCTACACAAAAGTAGCCAAATAGAAACCCACCCTTTTTTTTCTCCTTCTCTTCCACAATAACTTTGTGGAGACGGTGTGATCAAAGATTTAATTTGCTTTCTATGGTATGTGAGTGAGTGCTTATAAGTGTGTGTGTGAGAGAGAGTATGTGTTAGGTGTGTGAGTGTATTGGAATGTGGATGTGGGTGCTTGTGTAGGGAGTATGTGTAACAGAGTATGTTAGGTGTGTGAGTGTATTGGAATGTGGACGTGGGTGCTTGTGTAGGGAGTCAGTATGTGTGAGAGTGTAGATGAGGCTGTAAGTGTGATAAAGTGTGTGCGCATGCGTGCATGCAGACATGTATGAGAATAGCCCTGAGGTGGATGTATATAGAGACTGAATATTAGAGAAATCAGCAGGCCAATGAATGTTGTTCTAACGTGCTTATGTTTTCCTCAGACTCTTAAGGCTAGTTTAATAGCACTGACTGAGGTGGGCAATAAAACGGGCATTATTTCTATGAGCTTTTTATGTTTTTAACATGGTAAGTGCCCATACAGTGGATGCGGATCATACCACCAGTTACTTTGGGTTCTAAATATGTTTGTGGTGTGAATAAATTAGTCATTACCTCCCCCTGAAATTTTGTTAGTTATTTTCACTTTCTTGAAACTAATGACCGTTTTATTAAATAGACCTCACAGTTGCAGGAGGCAACATGGGTTACACAGTCCCTGAAACTCTGAAGCCAATCAGAATATTGGATTCCAGTCTCTGACACTCTGAAGCCAATCAGAATATTGGGTTCCAGTTCCTGAAACTCTGAAGCCAATCAGAATATTGGGTTCCAGTCCCTGAAACTCTGAAGCCAATCAGAATGTTAGTTCAATAACAACCCTGGGATGGGCTAGTAAGCCCGTATGTGAAATTACTCAGGATTTTACTTGGATATATTGCACTTCACAGCTGCCACATTAGGGAATATATCAGCAGTTATTCAGGGACAGAAACCATTTTTTTGTAAAGAAATAAGCATGTTAACTGCAAAAGTTTTTATAGCAACTAATTTGTGAGGGAGTTCTTAAATTTTGAAATGATGGTCTATGAGGGGAGAAGGCTAAAAAAAGATGAAAGTAACAGCAGTTCCATATCCCATGATCTCAGTACTGGATAATACATATTTGCAGGTCTGCTGTTAATATTTCTTTATTTCCACAACAAACACCTATTGAATGCCTATTACTTCTATTCACTTGGCTAAAAATTTAGATTCAATAATAATAATAATAATAGGTAACACATATACAACCTTTACTAAGTGCAAGGCATCTTTCTCTTCTTTTTTTTTTTTTTTTTTTTTTTTTTTTTTGAGACGGAGTCTGGCTCTGCGGCCCAGGCTGGAGTGAGCGGCGCCATCTTGGCTCCCTGCAAGCTCCGCCCCCCGGGTTCCCGCCATTCTCCTGCCTCAGCCTCCCGAGGAGCTGGGACCACAGGCGCCGCCACCTCTCCCGGCTCATTTTTTGTATTTTTTAGTAGAGACGGGATTTCACCGTGTTGGCCAGGATGGTCTCGATCTCCTGACCTCGTGATCCGCCCGCCTCGGCCTCCCAAAGTGCTGGGATTACAGGCCTGAGCCACTGCGCCCGGCCCATGCAAGGCATCTTTCTCAGCAGTAGCCTGTGTTTCGTGTGGTCGCATGAGCTAAGAATGGTTTTTCACATTTTTGAAAGGGTTGTAGGAAAACAAGAAACAAACAAACAAAAACTAAGAAGAATGTATGACAGGGACAGCAAAGCCTAAAATATTTAGTGTTTGTCATTTTACAGAAAAAGTTTGCCGATCCCTATTATAAAGTTTTAGTGTATGTTAATTCATTTAATCCTCACAACCCTACTAGCAGTATTATTTTCATTTACTAGACTAAAAAATTGAGTCACTGAGGGTTTTAAAGCCTTTTTCCAGGTTACCCACCTGATAAATGGAAGAAGAATATTCAAAATCAGTCAGTCTTACTCTAAAGACAAATTATCATGATCCCTGCTCTGGGAACACACACCTTTCTTCTGATCTGTGGCATAGGTATATTTAAGAGGAAAATAATATGCTGGTTTGTTGCTTAATATGTGGAACTGGGTGTGTGTGTGTGTGTGTGTGTGTGTATAAACACACATGAATAAATATGTATACAAGCACAACATATAATTTTCTCTCTAGAAACTTTAGTCCTTTTTCCTTACACATTTAATCAAGATCAAGATATTAATTTTAGATGTGACTTTTGTGATTCATTTTTTTCACATTCAGTTCTATGTTTATTTATAGTGACCCATGCTACCGAAATTCAGCTCTAGCAGCACTTTTTGCAGTGAACCTCATTTTAATAATTTTCGTAATCTGTGCTCATAATGCACACTTGTTTGATTGTAATAAAATACAACATGTTTATTTATTACAGCTCACTGGACGCTGTTTGCGCTAGAAAGTGAACATAAAGGCTTGTCTTCAGGAGTAAGCCTGTAATTTCCTCCTAAATGCCGAACCGTTGGGTAACGGTGGGGGGAGGGCTCCAGTACTTCTTTCTGTAACTTCCATGGTGGGAGTCAAGGGTAATTATTTCCCGAATTTAATGACACCACCAGGAAAAACGAAACAGAAGGCAGTAGGAGAGAGCGCAGGGGGAAAATGTCCTCAACGTGTAGCAAAGATTCTAACTGCCTCAGTGATCACAAAAAGGAAGACTGAGATTGTGTCCTGTTCAGTGAGACAAGTAGAAAGTTTCCTCGACTGCTGGACTCCACAGGAATCCCACAGCTGAAAGGAAATCCTGGCTCTATGTTTTCTAGTTTATGTTTTTGGAGGTTTGTACTGGAACTCCCACAGCAGATCGATATGGAAACGGTGAAACCTGGCGGCCTCGCCATCTGACTCAACCACACAGCTTTTAGAGCCTCGGCCACTGAAATATTTGACCTGAAACTTTGCTTTTCTACAAAACTTAAAGGAAAATAAGTTTAGTATTGAGGAAAATTTCAGGGATAATGCCACAATAATCAAATTAATTTCTTAGACTACTTCAACAGGTTTGATGTCTTTAAAGAACAATTAAATATATATTTCAAAATTGAGCAGATAAAAAGGGGAAGGGGGACATTACACATGTAATTTTTATCTGAGTGAAACAAGGTATCAAGCATCGTATGTCCTAATGAAGATATTTTTAATTGCTTATTTTGCTTTCCATATGTATGACACATTCCTTTTCTT